GGAAGGTCTGCATTCCGCCGAAGGGTTTCGGAACGGTTAAGATATAAACCAGGCATAAATTGACAAGAGAAAGCTTAGGTTTTAACTGAAGGCCATGTTGCCATTCAATTAAACCAACAACATTAAAAACTCCAAGGGTAATTAAGATATTTTGCCGGCAAAAGAAAAAAGGCAAGGTTTTGCTGACCTACTTGAAGAAAAATAATACAGATATCTTGTGATTATCTTGAAGAAAATGATTTACAGGAATTATTACCTTGCCACAGATACAGCCTTGTTTGCAGCAAGTTGATAGATTTAATTTTCTACAGTAAAAAATAGCTACTCCTTACTAGTAATAGACAGCTGAGATATGGAATATACCAAAGCCTAGAATTTCATCTTGCCTTTTTCCTTATAAGAATTCTTATACTATAAAAAAAATCTACTGAAAACCTACTCATTAGAAATCATGGGCATCTGAGAGGTGGAGTAAAGTGGAGCTTAAGAATTCTCCTCTCTTGAATTCACTTTTCTTGTACAATTGCAGCCCACAGCAATTTTTGAAGCTTAACTTCTGTCAAACAACTCAAGTTGGTGACAAGCCAGCAAACTGCCTTCCGATACAATTGAACACTGAGGGACTTGAGTGGAAGCAGTAGGAAGAGTCTTTGTATTGATTATTGGGAGCTGTCTTGACCACGATGACCGCAGAAGTGCCCGTGTAATCCAGGGAGTGTCGGATCTGGCCACACCAGATCACACAGGAGCGCAGCATCCGTGGATCCTGCTTGTAGATCAATTTTCTCTGGAGCAGGTTCTCATATTGTTGCTTTACTGGGTACTTATTACTGAGGGTGTTTGGAAGAAATATCTACTAGTAGGTGGTCGGTGGTTGTTCTTCCTTTTTAGCCTGGAGTCCAGTGTTGTTAGTTTAAGGCCATTTTCAATGGTTGCTAACCCTAGGATAGGCATAGGATCCTGTGTAGGCCCAGAAAACAGTTTGGCATCCAGGCTAACATTCTAATCATCAACACAGTTCCAAATGTTAGATTGTCACGTCAACTTTTCACACAAAAATGTTGATCAAAGAATGCTGTCACTTTGTTGTAACTTTGTTGTTTTGTACCACTTTCATCTCAAAAGACCTCCAGTAGCTTTGATACGGATATGAACAAGTGTCTGAGTTAATCGATACGTGTTTGTGTTAGCCACTTAATCTGCACATGTCCATACAATGTACTAAGATCACAGACATGGTGATATGATGGTGATCGGTGATGAAAGACTTTGATATAGCTGTTCTTTTTGTGTCTATTATTAAGGACAATTAGACTTAGAGGGAAAAGAAAAAATAGAAGACAACCTCACAATATACCCCATTCCCTGTTCCTTTGTTTTAACCCTCATACCTGACCTGACACATATAGTTGAAGCTTACTGTCTTGCTTCCCTATTTGCTTTATTCTAGAACTGCCAATAGATATCTGCACAGGTCCCCATAGTACCAGCACAGTTCCAGTTCTAGACATCCTTACTCCATAGTAACAGGTAGACTAATTAGACAGTCAACTTTTTTATAGAAGAGACAAAAATCAAAGGAGCAAGTCAGGCTGCCTTGATGTCGTCAGTATACTCCACTTCACCCACAGTGGTCACTCGGAAAACAAAGGGAAGTTCAGAGGAGGTTGGAGGCTTTGGGACCAAAGCAAGTGTCCGCCATGCCTCTCTCGTTGAGCTGATTAGCTCCTGCGCCCATCGGACGCGACATGGTTCATTGGCTAAACGTCTTGTACAAATTGGGTACAAATTGTGTGTGATGTGAGTCAATTACCGCACCTGTGTCCTTCAGACGGAGGGAGAACGTGCCGCGGAATAATCAAGGTCATCTGGTCGTGGCTAAGTGGATGACGAGGGAGACATGCGGCCTTGTTATATCGCCCAAACAAGGTTACCCCGCAACCGGCCCGGCATTGTCAGCGGCCCCGTATCGCGCAAATTGGGCACAAATTGTCGTTAACACACTTAGCTCCTAGCCGTTAACATGACTCATTGAATTACCAGCACAGACCAGTTCACTCACCTTGCAGGCGCCGGCTGAGAAAAGTTGTCTGACCGGTGGCTGAGAGCCTGTCTTGTCAGATCCCCTCAGTGTGATGTGCTCCCGCTAAGCGACTTGACAGGGATATTGTATCTCTTGTAGCCCCGGCACTGAAGGAGAGGCTGTAAATGATGGGTCGAGGCTGCAAGTTTAATAATGATGACATGAGGGCAGCCATAACTCTCCCAGATAATGACTATTGGATGGTGCAAAATGGTCAAGTTGAGACCACAATTAGAACACAATTAGCACCAAGGGGCCCAGATTTATGGAAATGCACAACATAAAAATTTAAGACCGCTGCCCAGGGTTGGGTTGAAGTGGCAAAAGGAGGGTCATAAAAGTGGCGTATCTCAAGATTGGACAGATACAGGGCTTGACCAAAATGCTGAACAACCGTATGCAAGCGTATCAAATGTTCCATCGAAAGACCCGCGTTTATAGCCGTTCTTTTGTTCGGCATCATGTGGAGTCTCTCGATCGTAAAGAAAGGTAGTTTAGAGCAGATAGGCCAAGCTTTCGCTGGCGGAGGAACTCAGCCACAGTCCATTTGCTGCAGAACTTTGGACATCATTAAAGGGGAAAGTTTTTGGCAAATTGGTTCGGCGTAGGTAAAAACTACTGTTTTTATGTAAGTAAAGGCTTAGTCTGTAAAGCAGAGTCTCCGATATGTAAAACTTGTTCTTTAGGACTGTTGCCTAAGTCTGTACAGTTTTGAAAGATGTGTGAAATTTCGTGGCAGTTATGTAAATGAGGACGGTTTAAAGCTGTCAGGGCCTGTAGTTAAGTATTAGGCTATGGCAGTAAAGGTCGCATGTCAAACTGATTTTCATCCATCTCCATCTATATACAGTCATATGTTTATGTGACTTTAACTTTATGGCAGTGTATGGTTTGCTGGTTCTCTTCAAAAGGAAAATATTATCGTGTTTGTTCGTAAATGAAAAGCAATTTTCTGGTACGTTTCACACTCAATAAACTCCAATCTCCGAGCCAAGGGGCTAAAGTTTTCTGTTTTACGAAATATTTACAACACTTGCATGGAGCCAAATAGCCTTAACGGCATTT